GCAGCCATCTCAGTCTGTCAGAGAGTCGAACCGGTATGGTTGCAGATAAACCTTAACTTGAAAAGAGCACACATCATAACAGAAAATGAGATAACTTGTGAGGTTATCATAGAAGATTGATGAATTGGGACCGAAAAATAGTCGCAACTCCGAACAGACAACAATGAATTTTCATTCCATCAACCTGGGCTGATGTTACCAAACGCAAACAAGTGGGCAAAATAATGGCTGTGATAATCAACAAAAATTATTCTAGACAAGTGTTTCGTCCTGGTTGGAACTCATCAGCAGTGAGCAGTATTTCTACGTGCCTGTGGGACCTAAATTCAGCAACTGTGGTTTAAATATTTCGGAAGGTAGGCCCCAGGTTTGCGGTTCGAATCCCAGCAGGGACACGAAAAACAGCACGCATGGATGATGACGATGATTCGAAAAATCGACAAAACAGCTGTTTAGTGGTGTTGTTTTTCGGTCACCTCATGACTCCATCGCACACAAAAGGTACTCAGGTAACAGGCAGTGAGGCCCACACCCGAATAAATTTACACAGACCCATTCTCTGTGTACTAAATAAGGTAACTTTTGATTCAATAGCGACAACGTTTAAAACAAGTTGGAAGGTGTTTTACACATCGATTACAAAAAGAATATAATGCGAATAGAGTGATTGCGTGTGTATGTGTGCCTTGAAGCGTAGAAATACTGCCGATCCTAATTAGGTTGAAACTGAGTGAACACATGAGACGGACTATTATGGTGTAAGAGTTTCAGTGAGTGTGAAAAATGATTCATACCGTCTGGTCAGTTGACATCCGTTGAAGTGACCTTCACTCCAGAGAGGAATATATTTCAAACGCATCAGAATCAAATAGACCGTCTTGGTTGCTTTAAGAGATACGCCTTGATTGAAACGATTAAGGGTCATCCCTAGCCTGTCGCTAACCCCGCCGCAGAGTGCTTTCTGCATAGAATTATCAGTGCATGCACTCAACTCTTACCACATCGATTCATGAATATATCAGGCCATGTGGATAACGTAACCCATGCCCCAAATTAAACAAAAGATTGACAAAAGTTGTCAATGTGAGTTTTCAAAAACTCGCACAATTAGTTTGCGCCAACGCTAACTCGTAATACAACCCATCTCATCCATGAATTACATCAAAAGAGCATTCATAGGCTCATGTTCACTTGTCGTGAATGGGCTATTTTTATCATCTACAACATTCCCATTGGCCTCCCGCTCCCCCACCCACGTCAGGTGATAGACCTGACTGGCACAAAGTATTCGCACTGTTTAAGAGCAATCATAAGAAATTCTGCAAATAACTGTCTGTTATTCAGTAATCTATAACAAATTACATGAAAACTCACTAAGAGTCGAGGATTAGTCGTGAACTTGTGAGTGTGAAAACATTAGATTGAGTGAAGGGATAGACAAATCCTGACGTCGATATACAAATAGATAGTGTAAACCTTCAAGTATAAAATTGATCTTTGAAAGTCACCTCATATGTTCCAGTAACTGCTGCAACAACCGACTGATAGCTTATTGAGCGCTTTGGTTGTGAACATCAAGTCGAGAATATATATATATATATATATATATCATAGAAGGAATTCGTCGTGTATACAGAAAATGAAGCGTGAACCGAAAAGCTAGAAAGCATTGTATAGCTGTTTCGACCTGGTTGGGTCTCATCAGTGCAGTGCGAATCCATCAACCTAACTGCGAATGGAAACCTTGCTTCATACAGGAAGAACTTCTTCTATGAAATTGAATCAAATCCTCCATTACTCATATATAGATAGATGGATAGATAGATAGATAGATAGATAGATAGATAGATAGATAGATAGATAGATAGATAGATAGATAGATAGATAGAT